CGGTTCCGCTTTGCGCCGGCCTCAGGATCTCAGCCCCTATTTGGGAAAAACGTCTCAGAGTCGCGGATCAGGTGGGCTGCATGACGCACGGCTATCGGAAGGCCTGGCGAAGCCTGGAGCATGTGGCAGGCTCAGCCCGGCAACCACAGTGGCTGTCCGGATGTGGCTGCACAATGCTTGTTCAAGATGCGAATGAAGCGAGGGTTCGTTGGAACGTCCGGGATGGTGAAGAGGGCAGAGCATTTGTTTTTTATCGTGGCACCGTTGCTCAGGGTGGGGCAGTTCTGTGCATGGTGCTCGCCGCCGAAGGCTCCTTTGTGGGATTTGTCGTTCTTCGCATCGCACACTCGGCTTGAATCCCTGGAAAGGATTTAAGCACAGTACGGTTACAGGAGCATATGAGATCGTTGCATCATTGCATCCGAGCGCCAACTTTAGGAGGCATAAAAGCGATACATGCAATCCCATTGTGTTGGAGCACAGCTACTGTGCGCGTTGTATTTGCGCGTGTGATTGCACGTCATGTGTTTGTTTGTTACATTGTTTGTTTGTTTGATTGTTTGTTTGTTTGTTTGTTTGTTTGTTTGTTTGTGTGCGTGTTGTTGTTTGCTTGCTTGCTTGCTTGCTTGCTTGCTTGCTTGCTTGCTTGCTTGCTTGCTTGCTTGCTTGCTTGCTTGGTTTTTTGTTGGTTTGTTTGTTTGTTTGTTTGTTTGTTTGTTTGTTTGTTTGTTTGTATTTGTGTTATGCTTGTGAGTTTGTGTGTGTGTGTGTGTTTGTGCTCGCTTTTGCGTTTTTGTGTTTGTGTGCGCCTGTGTGCATGTTATGTTTTTCTGCTTGTGTGTGTGTGCTTGTGTGGTGTGCATTTGCGTGTGGGTGTGATTGTGTATTTGTGCGTGTTGTTATTGTGTGTGCTGTTTGTGTTTGGTTGCGTGTGTTTGTGTGTTTGTGTGTTTGTGTGTTTGTGTGTGCGTTGAGAGTGCTTACTATGTACGCACCCTAGTAACACGCAACACATGACATAACATACACATTCACACATATGCGTGTATATACATCTATATAATAGATATATACATAATATATATACATGTATATATACGTACATGCAGAATCAAATGCGCATACATAAGCACATACACAGGCACACATACATGCACAAATGCAAATACACACACGCACCTACATACATACGGACGTACGGACGTACACACAAATACATACGTATGCAACGTACGTACGTGCCCACAGAAGGGCACACAGACAGACAGACAGACAGACAGACAGACAGACAGACAGACAGACAGACAGACAGACAGACAGACAGACAGACAGACAGACAGATAGACACACACACATATATATATATATATACATACGTACATGCATGCATGCATACATACAATCACGCACGCACGCACGCACGCATGCATGCATGCATTGTCTGCCTGCCTGTCTGCTGGCATACATACATACATGCGTGCATGCATGCATGCATACATACATACAACCGAGGCATATGCCTAGACATACGCATGCACATGCACAAATGATACACATACATGTATATGCAAACGCGTTCAGAATCAAATGCACATACATATGCACATACACATGCACACATACGCAGGTACGTACCTACATACACATATGCATTCACACGTACGTACGTGCATGTGTTGCAAGTAGATGTGTGTGTGTGTGTTGTCTTTGTTTGGGTGTTTGGGTGTGTGTTGTATGTTTGTGTGTGTATGCTTGTGTGTTTGTGTGTGTGCTTTTCGAGTTTACGTGACGATTTACTTCTGTGTGACTGTGTTTGGTGTTTATGTGTGCTCGTGTTTGTGGGTTTGTATGCTTGTGTGTTTGTATGTGTTGGGCGTGTGGGTTTATATTTTGGTGGATTTGGGGGCGCGGACGGGGTTGGCTGTCGGCTTTATGGAGATGATGCATGCATCACATAGCGTGACTTATCATGCTCACATATTCAGCCTGAATTTGCGTACGACTCAAGAATCGCAGCCAGTGCCATTTCCAGGTGCTTCCGAGTTTCTGTACTCTGGCTCGCGTGGCTTGGCCTGGTCAGATGTTACAAGAGGGCTTGAGTTCGCGCTATCGAATTCAGAAGTTTATGTGCGTGCTTGAAGATTCAGCCCCAGGAGACCGACAGATCCGCAAGTGGTCCGGCGCCTCAAGAAATGCCCGGTGTCAGCCAATTTTGAAGTGCCGCCATCCATGGCTTCAACCTCAGCCAAGCTTGACCGTTCTCGCGCAAAGGTCGCTTCCCGACGGATGTCTGGTGGCAACTTACTCCGGGCTGCAGCCTCAGACCCAGCTGCTAGGAACGGCTTTCCTGGTTTAGCCCGGCTGGCATGGGCATGAGCTTACCAGCAACCACTTGGCTGTGGGTCAAAACCAATGGTACCTTTTGGGTAAGGCGCACCACCCATTTTAGTCTATTTTAGTGGGGATTGGGATGTTCACTGGGGGTATGGGATTTTGACCCTTGGCCACTTGTCAGACAGCTTGTTCTGGACCTGCGGGTGCAGGCACACTTCCATGGTGCGCTGCGTCGCTCTGAACTCCAGATATTTGGCCAGTGGCAACCCGGCTTTGACGCTGGACGTATATCCTCCCCCTGCCATGGAAGCGAAGGAAAGCTTTCAGCAAGATCCTTTCCTTTGGGAATGCTTCAAGGACAAGAGGTCCTTTTGTTTTGTAATTGCACCGTGTCAGTGGGTGACCTGGTTGAATTTGGTGCTAGGCTGCGTGCTGCCAGCCCATTTCTGAATAGGCAGACCCTTGGGTGTCGCCCAGGCAGTGATGACCGCACCGTACGTCTCTGGAGGATGGATGCCGGAGGCCAAAGCTTCTCCCGTCGAATTTCCTCCGAACGACGAGTAGAGAACTCATGCAACACGCGTCGGCATGTTGATGCCAGAGCTGCAGTGCGTTCTTTTTTTGCCCTTAGGCACCAGAGACCGTGCGAACCATCCCCGCGCACAAAGATTTCGCCAGAAGCCTGGCTTGTCACTTGAGCCACGATCAAGATCGATTCGGTTAAGTCAAGGGTAGTGAGGGATAGCCAGTTTGCGTGGTTCTGAGTAGACAACTTTGATACCCTTACTCCCACTACCTGGAAGACCCCTTGTCAGGTGCCATGTTAGTGGGAGAGAGGGTACCAGGTTTTATTGATTATGTCGCACTTCTGAAAGAGCATAGGCGTTTGCTATTCTCAGCTTGGTGTGTAGGTCCGGGCGGTGGCGCTGTGCAGCACCTTCCAGGAGAGGCTAGTGTCGCCCCCTCAGCTTGGCTCAGCCGAGCCTGGGCTTTGATTTGGAGAGTCCTTGTTGGTTTTTGAGCTGCGACCAGCGACATGCGCCTCAGAAGCAGCTCGATTTCTCATCAGTTTGAGAGTGATCCTGAAAGCTGGCCTCAATGAGGCTTCTTCCACTGGCGTGGTTTGCACATTCTTGGGGCATGGCACAGGGTTCGATGCCGTGTTTGTGTTTGGCAGCATGCTTTGCCATTTGTTTGGCTTCGAAATTTGCGCATTCCTTCTGGTTTACAAGCTTCTGGGACCACGAGCGATGTTTGCAAAGAGGACTGGGTACAAAGGAGAGTGACAAACGCCCCGTTGGCTCTTCTGGCGTGAGGCACAAGTCTAGCGATTTGGCCAAAGGTCTGCTGGCGACGATTTGGCCGTCATCCTTTGGGATGCCAGCAGCGGGCAGAAGCTGCGTGAGTTTGGGCCCACAGTCTGGATGGTCAGGGTGGGTCCGTTTCGAGGGTACGTTTTTTTTGTTTGTGTGTTCTAAAGGGGAACCAAGGGGAAAACAACCGTTTTTTTGGGGTCCCCTTAAAGACCCTACATCCGTGTTTTGTCCTACTCTATGAGGTCTTGCTTCGCCGTGTCTGAAGATTATATGAAGAAGCAGCTACCACACAACCTCTCCGGCTTAGGGCTCATCTTCACGAAGTTTGAGGTTTTGAATTTAGGTTTTGAATTTAGGTTTTGGTGTTGGGTTCAGGTTTCGGGTTCGGTTTACAGTTTGGGGTTGACGTTTAGGTGTTGGTAACAGGTTTAGGGTTTCGGGCTCGGGGTCAAACCAGAATCTGTCCCAGGCGTTGCGAAAGAAGTTCATTTCCTAATTTCTTAGCATGCAGGATTGTGGATGCGGATTTGCCCAACCCTTCATTTTGAACAGCCCAGCTTCTTGATTCAGAATGATTTTTGTGCCTGGCCCAGGTATGCGCATCCTTGCGTGGCAGCTGCTCTGCTTCTTGAGGGCTCTCTCCTGGCCAGCGCTGGGGAGGCTGGTCGACATGCGTCTCAAACACACGCTGAGCGCTGAGCTTATGCCCCCGCAGGACGGCCGGCTTCGGATCTGGAGTGCTGAGCCTTGGCACTGCGCTAGCATGTCCGGCAAGAAACATTGTCGCATGAACGGGGTTGAATGGATGGTTGAGCTAGTGGCTGACACACACCAACATCATTAAGGAATCGGGCATCCTGCAGCACACCATGAAGCGGCCACCTCGGATGTGCACGCAACTTCCTCATGTTTACAAGTGGCATCTTTGAGGCACCCTCAGCGCCTTACCAGCCTGGCTTGGCTGCAGATGTGAGCGCCAAGTCAGCCCAAGAGGGGCACCCAAAACGGGCCCAAGAGACCTGCGAGCCAATGTGACGTGGTGCAACACACGTCGCCAAATTGCTGAGACTATGGAAAGCGCATGGCTCAAGAAGTGTGCTGTGGACATTTCAGCCATGATGTTCAATCTGCAGCTGGGCACATTTGTCTTGATTCTGGCTCAGGTAAATGCTGAGAAGGCTCAAAATCCTGAAGATGGGGACAGGAAAGCACGATTTATTCCGCATCGTGCTTCTGGGATTCAAATTGCAAAGCATCAGTATTGCATGCAATGCATTCGGGGATTTGTCTTGCACCGGGACTTACTCTACTGAAAGCGTGACTTGCAACATGTTGACATTTTGTTTCTTTGCGCAGAGTTTTGCAAAGCTTCATTCCCTCCTGCCAAATGGCCCCGTCAACAAGGTGCGCGCTTCATTGCACAGCCAGTCAATGCCAGCTGGGTCTCAGAGTTGCGGACAAACACCGCGTTGAAGGGTGGGACGCCCATGTAAAGCGCGGCGAGACCTACGTGCGAGCGATACTTTGGAAGTCCTACATCTCTGTAGCACAGCCGCCATGCAGGCAAGCAGGCGCGCACGTGCACTCACCCACCCGCTTACCCAGCCATCACACACACAAAAGCAAAAACAAAGCACAACACACCACCCCATAACGCAGCTCCTCACAAGAAGAGCTTCGCGGGAGAGGCGGTGCTAACGGACGATAAGGTTTGAGACGTCTGAACTTGTTTGCATCATGTAAGGGGGATTCCCGCAGGGTCGGGGCAAAATTCGGAAGGGCCTTTGGAAGGTCAACAGCCAAGGAGAAATTGGGAGAAGGGTGAAACAGATCCGGCTTGCCATCGCTACACATGTGCAACCAGCGCAGACACGCGACATGCATGTGCACTATATTGGCACATCTCTCTATTTCTATACGTATACATATACAGGTCTGTATGTATGTGTAGACATAGTGTATATGTATACATATGTATATATATATATATATGTGTGTAAATGTCTATATGGGCTGCCTTGTGAAAGTCGTTCTCCCTCATTCCTTGCTTTTTCCGCAAGGAATCAAGGAGTAACGCATAGGCGCCGGGGCTTTGCATTTGGGTGTTGAGGGTTAGGGCATTCGTACCTTTTGATTTTTTCGCACGGTGCTTGGGTTTTACGGGCAGTAGGTTGTTTGCCAGGCGGACGGGTGGGTGAGTGAGTCCGTGCTTGTTTGTGTCCGTGCGCTCGGTGTAAATAAAACGTTGAGTGTATTGGGCGTCCATGTGTGTGCGTATGTGATTTTTGTGCCTTTGTGTGAGAACATATGTGTAGCATGTCAGTGGCCAAGCGAAGCTGACAAATCAGATAATGTGTGCATATCTGCGTGAGAACGGTCTGCTTTGGCCACCCACCAACACACACACACACACGCACTCAACGCGAACACACAAAGCACATACAGAGCGCACACACATACACCCACACACACACATATCCAACCCAGACACCATACGCAGACACACCCACACACCCACACGGCCAAACCTAGCGCGGCATACACTGGTATAGTTACACAACGCACTCACACTCACACGGACACGGACACACAGACATCTCCGCGCGCGCCCTCCCGCACGCATGCACGAATGCACGGCACGGCACGGCACGGCACGGCACGGCACGGCACGGCACCGCACACTTTGTTGACTGATGTGCGCGGCAATCGCATTGTTGGTTGAAGGAGTTGAGCGTTCTATTGGCCGAAGAAGGTCGGTTCACTTTTGTTCAGGACGAGCAGTAGGTGGAGGGTTTGACAAGACAGTTGAACTGCGACCCAAATCCAGGTGGTCGCCTTGACATATTTTTTCGCGTGCTGGCATAAATGTAGGCGTACACACATATATATATATATATACATATGTATATATATATACACATATATATAAATATATTATATTTAACATGACGGCCAGGTTAGGACAGATCGGCCTGGATTTCCGTAATGTTCCTTGCGCTCTCTTGGAGTCATGCAGACGATGGCCATGCAGACAATGGAACAGCGCCTAGGCGAGCGCGCTGTCTTCTGGTGTGGGGGCTTGGGACTGCCCGAGGAGCAGATAGAAACTACGATCGCCTGCCCGGATGGCATTCAGAACAGATAAGACGTTGGGAAGACAAGAGTAGGGCTAAACATAGGTGCCATGAAGCACACTGCCTCATGACTTCGGAGTTGAGGTTACTTGTGGGTAACCGCCAGCATGGCAAAGCTCAGGGTTGGATCCATTTCAGATCCAAACGCGTTGGATAGCGAAGCCTGGAGTTTGTTAGTATTTACGGTGATGCAACAGCCCTGAGCAGGAAACCATACAACCACATTAATGCACATGGCCAATGCAACTCAATCCATTGATGACATGAAACGTTCAAGCTGATTCACTTCAGGTGTGCGCATTTGGCGCGTTTGCAGCAGTGACCTTACATGGCTGTGTGGCTGACGCAGACGCAAGCGGCTAGTTTTCTGCAGCTTTTGCTGCCTGGTGCATGGTGAGGCTTGGAATGGCCTTCGGGTAGCTGCCAATGCGTTTGCTGGCCAGCAGCTGAGCATGCTTGAAACTGCCTGCTTTGCTTGCAGAGGTTGTACCATACTTGGGTTTCGTTTGGGGGTGGGGATGGGGTAATGCAGGGGCCCCGCGCAGCGCATTCGCTTTCCTGACTGTTGGCCAAACCATGCGTGTAGAGCAAGCGCAACTTTCACTTTGGCCCCCAATTTCTGAAAACTAGATAGTTTTGTAGCCCCAATCTATTGCGTACTGCGCACCTTCCGAACATTCCCGTTTACCGCAAGCAGATGCGTTGTCGGGAACATGTAAGTCATTGGCAAGGCAATTGGCCCTGCCATGGTTGCTTTGCCTCGGCTGTGTGTTGCTTTCGGGCCTCTGCCTGAATCACTCATTGCCGTTGGAGTCCTCAATTCACTAAACACAGGAGCGCTCTCACTGGCAGGCTATAGTCAGATCTTGATTTTGGAGATTGAAGGGGCCAAGTCAGGCCGAAGTTCCTTTCTTTGGCAGAAGGGATGGCCAGCCGGAGCGGCGTGAGCAGCATGCACGCAGGAACTTGTTGAGAACTGGAAGGGTATGCCAATGCGTTTCGCGTGGAAAAATGCACTTCAGGCCGCGAACATCGATGATTGTCGGATTGCGTGGGGTGTTCGAAGGCTTGCGATTTACCTGTCAGAATGCACGCAACCTAGTCTGCAATAGGTGCGGGTTTTACCCCGCACAGCGGTTGCTCTGCTAAAAGCCCATGAACCGTGTTGGTCAACAACACTCAGGACATTCTGTGGCTGCGTTACTCGTAAAGGATTTGTCCTGGCTTCATGCAGGAGCAGGGGCCACACTTTGCTTCAACAAACGAAGAGTGGTGCATTGCCAGAGGATGTGCAGGCTTCAACTGTCTTGAAACATAGTAAATAGTATTGACATCCAGGACAACTTTGATGACCACGAATGTCCAAAGAAGCAAAGTTCGAACCCAACCATTTGAGCCAACAAAGCATTTCATTCTTCAGACGTGGGTGTGACTCATGCCACTAGGTTCTTCAGGCCTGCGAGCGGGCGCGTGCAGCGTTCTCAGGTGCAGAAATTGCGGTGTTTGGCCTAGTTGGCAAGTTGTTAACCCAAGTTAAAATCCACGAAAAATTGGGTCCCCCTAAGTAGCGTTAACCTTGTTGTTAGCGGGTTAGAGCCCAGGTGGCCAACCACCTACTAACTTTGCCGAACATCCAAGTAGAGTCCACAACATGAGGAAGACGCTATAGCTTCCCACGCATCTCAGCAGTGTTGCAACTGTTGCCTCTACCAACTTGCAGTGGCCACCTGCACGGCTGAAGTACTATGGTCATGAATTTAACTAAGGAACCCCCTGGAAAATGGTTGGTAGATATAACACCCCACCTAGATGATGTTCACCAGAGGGCCCCTAGTTAAAATTAATGCCCAATATGCCAAGCTGCTACTCAGGCGGACAAAAGCGCACGTTGCGAAGAGGCTTGTTCGAGGCAAGACGGCAGCCATGGTCGCCGAGTTGTCGAACCAAGTCCCGCAGTCGATGCCGATTTGGTTTGTGCCATGGGCCTGTTGAAAACCAACTCAGAAAGGCACACTCAAAGGGGAATTGTACTCAGTAAGTGCTTAGATGTGGTTAGGAAGCCTGGTTATAAGCCACAAAAGCCCTGGTTATAAGTCTTCCTTCCGTGGGTTATCTCACCAGGCCTACTAGCCACATCTAACGGCTAAGTGCCCGATCGGCACCTTTTTTGTTTTTTTTTTTCTTGTTCGCATGCGTTGACCGTTCATCGCGGGAAGCAGCTGCTGAAGCCCTGCACCTCAGGACCTGCAGCAAAGCTTTACGGATTCGGCCGTGCAGGCCGCATCAGGCAGATGCGCTTCGCCGAATTTGTTTTGGGCACGGCGTCGGATGCGCCATGGGACCCCAACTTTTTGGGCTGAAAGCTCAAAAAGCGGCCGCTCGGTTGGATGGTCGCATTTGGTGAATCATGGTGCTGATTAATGTATTGTGTTCCCAAGCGAAGCAGACTATTGAAATCAGCAACGCGGCACGGCCTGCATTTGGGTTTCCATGCGTTGGTCAAACACTGGTGTTCACACCAGAAGGAGCCACCAAAAAAGGAAAACAGACCGAATTTGGCCTGCCTAGTTACAAGGACATACATTTGGCAACGAAACGCCAGCTTGTGAGCACTGCAACATGTATTTGACTAATTCACATGTTTTACACAAATCGCACACGGCTCAAACCAATTGCCTTTTTTTCCCATGCATGCCTTGACATGACCACGAGCTGATTGGACCTCAAAGCAACATGCCCCGCCAGTCACTCACGTGACTGGCGGTCAAAGGCGTAAATTCCAGGTCAGTCTTGGCACTGTCTTGCTACTTTTGTTTGTAGGCAGAGTCCAACCATGCCATGGTAAAATGCCTGCAAGCTAGGCGTGCATCGCAATGTCAGACGTCTTCTGCAAGCCCTCATATCTCTCAATGTGCAGTTCTGCATGCCTTCGACTTGCACTCCGAATTGCTTAGAGGCGGCTAAATTGTCCACAAGGGGCCTTTCAAAGACTCTGCAGGTGGGAATTGCTGTTTGTTGTAGCCGAACGAGCTATCTAGCTCAATCGACAGCGACTAAAGATCATGGCGTCTGGTACGGGTCCACGCTACACGCTACTGATGCATGCACAGGCCTTACCAAGGAGGAGAATGAGGCGCTGATGGAAAATTGCAGGGCACCCAAGCGAAATTCGGCTCCGGCTAGCAAGTGATGCATGAAGCACACGCTTCGCCTTGGGCCTGGTAGGTGGGAACGTGTTTTGGCTAGCAGTGCTTGGCTAGCTGGATTTGGGGAGGTATCCAAATGTGCTTTTAAGGGCAACCAGGAGTTCTGTGAGGACATGGTAGTTGGTTTGTTTATGGTTCAACTGGAGGCTACCATTAGCGATCAACGTGTAAGGTCGCAACGGAAAGATGAGCATTGATGACTACCTCACAGTCATGAGAATGTCCGCTGCTCAGCTTGGTCACTGTCACAAATTTCGCGGGCTCAAGAGATGGAACAAAGAGTTGCCCGACGTCGGCGAAGGTTCAGCAAGCTGGGCGAAGTGGGAAACTCGGCACGGAACTCGGGCATTGTAGCTCAGTATGTCAGCCATGCCCAGGTTGAAGCCCTTTGAGTGTTCAGCATGGCCAAAGAGCATACTCTTGGGCAGGGACAGCACGCTTGGAAGATCTTGGCTTTTCCAGTTAGGTTGCCCCGCTGAAGAACATGCCCGGCACCCAGCGCTGGCCGAATTTCCATGCAAAAGCTTGGCCCTTTGGCAGCAAGGCTCCAGCAGGGCAACGCCCAAGGAGAAATTGACAATGCCAAAGAGAAACTCGTTCAGCAGGAGAGGCGTACTTGGAGAGGTTGGCCACCTGGGTTACCCAGCAATAACAAGGTGAACCCCACTGAACGGGGGACCCGGGTTATAGCATAGGTTCCGAACTACTTACTAGCTTGGCAACGCACATCAAGGAAGAATTTGTCAAACCAGCTTGAAGGGTAATCGTTTTCGTGTTGGTGAGCCAACAATTTGGCGTTGCGCAGGAGGCACTGGTAAACGCAATGACCAAGAAGGACGGGATGGGTCCCGGCTGACCCACTTGACCCTCACTGATTGCTATGAAGGTTTCGTAACTTCTGAGGCGCAAGGACACTATTTTACAAGCAGGTGACGACCATACACGCATTCCGGCTCAGACATATCCAGCAGAGTCGGCCAAGTGGTGTGTCTCAACAGTGACAACGGTGAAAGAACTTACTCTGCCGCGGGAGCGCACTTACCTTTACTTGACTTTGCTTTTTCTTTCCTCGTGCTTTGCAGTATGGGAGTGCGTGCACAGGAATGCAGGAGGTCAATGTTGAACGCGACGTTGGTTTTCACCGCATCGCCAGCAGACGGGATGCATGCTCCTTTCCTATGACTTTCACTGGTGCACCTCGCGCCTGCTTTGCCGTGATGCTGCTGGTACCCTGTTGCTGCCAACAGTCTGTCCGACTGTGGTCGCCTAGTGGTTTGGGAGCTGTGCCCACCAAGGGGACCGGGGTGCTGATTGGGACCCTGCTGGACCATCAGCCGTGCAGCAAGTAACATCTTATGTAAGGCAAGGAAGAAGCAAAAGACAACTTCTGCGAGGATTGCTTTGGCAGGCTTGTGTGTTTCCAATCTCTTCCCATTGGTCTACTTGTCAAGTGTCAAGTGTATGAGAGAAGCTCCTCACATCTCCTCACCAAACTGCTTGTTTGCAGAATTTGATCATGAACGCTCAGATGGTTGACCTGTGAATCGCGGATGAGTTGTGAGGGGGTTGCCCGTGCGCGACACAGCACTTACCTGGAGGAGCGTGCAAATCCCGACGTCTTCGTCAAGCCTGGGCCGACTGGTCGTAAGGCGAGCCAAGTCCAAAGCCAGATCTTTGAGCCTTCGCTGGCCGCACTTTGGTTGCACGTCTTTTTGCTGAATACGTCGTATGCAGCTTTCTCAATTAAAGTCGGTTGTGGCGAACATTGCGGCACCAGTGGGCTCACAAACATCATGCGCGATTTGGGCCTGACAGGCGCTGGAGCGTTGGGCTGGCGCTGCAGGCAAGACGGAAAAGGCGCGATGCTTGAGAAGCGCCGATGGAGTAAAGGAGGCCTAGATCAGCTGCAATTGCTGGGCTCCCCTTGGTATGAGCCTTGCTGTGCAGGAAGTGAAACCCATGAAGCCAGGGCTTTTTGTTGATAGGAGATGATGGAGTTCTTGCTGGAGTACCGGTCCATGAAGTCTTGAAGCTCAATCAGCCTTAACCGAGCCACAATCAAGACCGATTTGGGTAGATGAAGGTTGGCAAGGGATAGTCCCAACTATAGATGGGTGCGGTAATTCTTTACATGGTTCTGGGGATCAACCATTTTGATACCGAGTTTTGATTATGACTCAATTGGGTCTGAGAACTCTTGCTGGTGCTCAGTTCGGGAATGACCCAAAATGTCGGGAATGAACCCGCAGGAAGCCACTGGCGCGTTCTCAGGTCCATGTTCGCGAAGCTTGGGCAAGGAGAGGACTTTTCAGACCACGGCTCAGTGAGACGAGTGACGAGTGCCCATCCGATCCAAATCGCCCCCTGAAGTCTGATTCTTGCATGCTATGTTCAATGCGCCTGAGGACGTGCAAAAGCAACTGGCGAAAGAGCGGGATGAGCTGATGGTTTCAACACAGTCACGCAAGGTGACTTGCCAAGAGACGCGAAGTATGTTCGGCATGTCGTTCTGCCATGCTGCTATCTCAATATGATGTTGTCCGGCAGGCTCGACGATCGACCAAAACCCGAACAGGCGGAAAAGCAGGTGGGAGCACACCGTCTAGACATGTCTAGAAATTGCATATGCGTGCCACATGACTTGCTGGTTGCAATGGTGAGCTTGGTTTTGCAAAGCCGCAGGCAAGCAGCCGGAGTGGTCAGGGGCTTGAAATTTAGATTGCCGCACGCGGTGTGGCGACTGGAAGCGTTTGCTGGGATGCGGTCTTCAATGGCATCGCGTGTGCCTAGGATGACCTTATGATGCAGTACCGGATCCAAGTACAGTCCGTCAAAAAGTGCCTGCTGCTCCATACTGCGCTTTGTCTGAGTAGGTGGAGTTTGCCGGCCTGCTTCTGATTCGGTCATGCATTGGATGTCAGGCGATTCGAGGTAGAGGTGGTGAGATCTTCATGCTCCTCTTGGAATCGCAGCTGTACAGGGTCGTCCGATAGCCATGTAGTTACCACATGCCAAACAAATACCAACCTGCCAGGCAAGAGTTCGCAAGCGCGGCCCGGCTGAAAAGCAGACTCCATAGAGGCCCCCGGGCAAAATCGGACGTCACACGGGCAGCTTTCGGCGCAACCGCGTCCAAAGAAGATGCGGCCATGGCCGACGGGCCCAGAGTGGGCCTTGCTGGCGTGCCAACGCGGAAGGGGCACTTCGGCTCGCGACATGTGGTTGAGGGACAGGTTTGTGACATTTCTGGGTTTTACCCATTATGGCAGGTTTTAGTCCTCGGGTCCGTTTTCCGGGGTTCCATGTGACCTTTTGACCCACAGCCACTTCATGACCTTGGGGCGGTAGGCCATGTTACTTCCCGACTTCCCTGGAGGAAAAAAAGAGCACCTTTTGGGAGAAGGCCCATTTTAGTTGCAGATAGAAAGGAACTTGAGCTTGGGCAATTTGATTTGGCCGAGGCACGGTGCACCTCTTAAAGTGGTTTGTGGCTCGCGTTGGGAGCTGCCCAGGTAGCCAGAAGCGAAGTGGTTATGTGGCCGTCCACCCTTTTCACATGGAACCGTTCGACGTTCGGGACCCGGCCCCTTTAAAGATAATAATGGTCCAAACCAGGACCCCCGAACGTCGAACGGTTCCATGTTAATTGGTGAGAGGGTCGATGTTTGCTGATAGATGTTTGGGGATGGAAGTGTTTGACCGTCTCGGCGCTGGATGAGCCAAGGCGAAAACGCCCCGAAGCCACCTGGCGTGCAAGAAGGGTGGCCAGATGAAGCACCTGATGCGGGCTTGCTTGGCCACATCGCCCAACGCATGGTTCGCAAGTCTTGTTCCGAATTGCACAAGCCTAGCAACCTGTATTCAGAAAGGTGTCTCTGAAGTGCAGCCTTTTGCCACAGTTCTGGTTCAGCATGAGTTGGGAGCACGGGGTGCAGGCAGAGGAAGGTTCGCCCCGGAAGTTCAACCCGCTGCAGTACTACGAAACTTGCCGGCAAAAAATGAGCACGGCAACTTAATGAGCCGTTCGCTGCCGCTGGATTGTTTTTGTTTGCGGGTCGTTTACTTGCCTGTTCCAAAGCCATGCTTTGCTTTTGCATCCCTTTTTCCAGTCATGCAAAAACATGCGGCGCTCTGGTGTCTCTTGTCGGTTGTTGCAGGACTTGCAAAGCGCAAGCCGGTACTTTTGGACAGGCAATCTCATCGAAGTCACGTTGAATCAGCTAGTGTGGGAGCCATGAGTTTAAGCGTACAGCTTCAAGGTTTGTTCGTCCCGGGGCGACGTTTCTTTGGCGCACTTTGCTTGGATGTTAGGACTTTAACTTGTTGCCAACTAACGGGTTTTCCATTAAACCACTAAAAGTTGAATTTTTAGCAGGGGAGCTAGAAAGCAACCGAGGTTTGTTGGTTTGCTGTTGCCCAGGGTGTGTTTGCAATTTGAAGGGGCGCTCACAGACAAGTTAGCCCATGCAAGTTGTTTTCAATATTTGTCGGCTTTTGCTTCTTGATAAATGTGCGCCTCCGAAGGCATTTCCAGCGACAAGCTGCCGGCTTTTGCTTTTCCTGCGGGTGCTCAGTTGGGGATTCCCTGAAAGGAAGCCACAAGTTCAAGTTGGATGTTGTTTTCTCGGGGTCATTCCGTAACTCTCATTCCCTGCCAGACCCTCGCAGCGATCGCATGGTTTTCGTTGTAAGCCTGGTGAGATACCCCATTGAAGGGAGACCTGGAACCATGGCGTTTGTGGGTTACCTGGTTACTACCCTGCAAATTTGTCATACAGACCCATGTTGGGAATGAACCCCCCAAAAAGTCCCAGACACCGGAAACCGCCAGTTGGATGGCTCAAGCCCGAAGATTTTGGGAAGGAACCGGAAGGGGATTCAATTGAAACCGGAAACCACCGGTGGTTTTTTTCTTATATTTTTCTGCCGGGCCATTTTCCCCGCATTCGAAAACCGATCTCCGGGTGAAAACTTTTTTCCTAGGAGGAGATCCGGCACCTGGGCTCCGGCGCCGTCGGCGCCGCGGTCGTGGTGCGCCGGCTCTCGGACGGCCGGCGCTTGGTGGCGAAGAAGTGCTCCGTGAAGGCGGGGGTTTTCGCGGGGTCGGCGGGGGGGGGGGGGGAGGAGTGGTGAAGGATGGAAGGTGACCAAACGGGTCTGTCTGTTTTTTGGAGTTGGTACTGGGTACTGTCCTTTTTGTTCTTCTTTTTTTTTTTGGGGGGGGGGAGGCGGGGAGTCCAAAAGGAAAGCCACCAATTGGGGGGGGGGTCCCCTCACGAACACCCAAACTTGCATAGGGGGCTATGGCTACTTTTCGGAGCGACTTGAAGCTTGCTCGGAGTATCTTCCAGCTGGGATCTGAGACCTTTCCTGCTCGATTGGCATCCTGTCCGTCCCTAGCTTCAGCACTCATGTTAAGACAGCCCTTCCCTGAAACAGCTTGCCCCAAGTCCAGCATGAGGGTCAACCAAATCTTGGTGGCTCCCAGCCATTCCCTCAGGTTCTTAAATTTTTGGGGTTTCAGTGGGGAATTCCATGGAAGCCACAAACAGTTAGTCACTTCAAGCAAGGGATCTGAGGACAGCCTAGTGATGCTGATGCTCTTCTTGTGTGACTGTACAGTTCTATGGGGAGCATCGAGGCCATACGCAAACTCACGCAGTCAGATCTCCAAGAGAGTGGCCTGCTGGCAGAATCGTATTTGCTTGTGCGGATGGACGTAATGAATATTCCCAGAGTTTTGACCATGGGTAGCTTTTCTCATGTGGTTGAAATATTTTTTGTGGGTTTCCCAATGGTCACCCCATGTAAAGGACCTTTTGATCAAGCCCTTGGTATTTGTTGGGTCGTTTTCCGTCTCACCATCGCGTGCCAATTTGTTTATGCAAAAGCGTGCTTGCCCCAACGGTCATCGGTAGTTTCCCCAGGACATGGACGAGAAGCAGCGGCAAATGTGCGGCTTGGCCTTGCAGCTTCCTTGTGGCTTCCTTGTGACTCGGGCCGCTAGGGTTGAGAGACCTGTGGGGCAGCTGTGTGGGGCGCATGTGCATGCCACCCCCCAAAAGCAGCAATGGCCAGAGCTGTTCGGCCGACATTTTCGAAGCGGCGTCTGAGGCTTCGAGGAGATCGCGCTTTTGCAGAAGGTGCGGCACGAGTGCATTGCGCAGCTGGTGGATTTCGTTTGGGCCTCCAAGGACTGCAGAGGCTGAGCTGGAAAAAGGGTGGGTTGCTATACCCAGACTCCTCCAAAGAACATGACGGGGCTTCATGTGGGGGGAAAAGAGGGCTTTATGCGGGGGTAATGCGGACGTATTTTCTTTTGCTGGGGGGAAAGATGGCAAACATCACGGGGCTTCACGGGCAGACAGGCTGCGATTGTCAAAGCTGCCTGTCTCGCGCGGTAGCTTTGCTGCTGTTTAAGCGTGGAAGCTGTTGCCAGGACATGCTCAGCTACTGGATTGTTCTCAAGTTCTATTCCGGCGGCGATGTGCAGAGCGAAATTGACAATTGCCGAGAGAGGCTTAGCTCATCTTTCGCATTCTAACTGCAGTTTTGCGGTCATGAGCATTGGCACTGGGCTGCCTGCGAAATGGTTATTGAGACATGCTGTGTGAAGCATTTAAAGCTCAGACATGGCACACAAACCTTGGCACATGATTTAGGCCCTTAATGTTGACCCCGTATTAAAAATCCCCACCTATTAGTCCGGTCCGGGTGACACCCCCCAATACTAAACAATTCATAACTCAGAAATTACCCCCAAATAAAAAATGGATCAACAAAAAAACAATTAAACCGGTCCCTCCCCCAGATTGCTACTGCTATCTCATTTTCTCCAATGCTGCCTGAGCTCATTACAATGTAAACTGTTTTTTGGTGCTAGCTGATGCTGCTGATGTTGAATATTGTGGACTCATGCTGCTTGCCATGCTTTCTCTGAATGGTGTCCTGAAAAGGTGCTTTGGCTCAAATGGGCTCGTGCTTTCTTCCGATACCTTTCTCTTCATGCTGCTGCCTTGCTTAGGGCTCTCATCTCCACCTCCTACTCTCATCTTGAAGCTTGGTGGATGCTTTTGGGCCTGCCCAAACCACCAAACAAAAAGTGTTCTGAGATGGTTGATTTCCTCTTAAGTCCTTTACTAAAAAAACAAGTTTAGAAGGTTTCAAAGTGTACCCCACATTGGCCCCTTACACCCCCAATTAGTGCGGTCCATCGGCCCCACCCCCCAAAAAAAGACAACCAGGCCTGCTCAATGGAAACTCAACTCCAGATCTCAAAAGGAAGCTCCAGCAATACTAAATCAAATGGAAACTCAATTCCAGATCTCAAAAGGAAGCTCCAGCAATACTATCAATTGGAAACTCATTCCAGATCTCAAAAGGAAGCTCCAGCAATACTAAATCAAATGGAGATCCTGATTATTTAGGGGGGGGGGGGAGGCAAAAGACCTTCCAAAATCTTGCCCCCCCAAAACCTTCTGACCTTCAAGGGGGGCGGGTTACATACTAATACGGGGTCAACATTAGGGACAATAGTCACTAGAGGTGCTTTGGCATTGGCAGAGCTTTGCCAGGAATGAGCTGGAGCTCCCCGTGGGGAAAGCTAAGAATTGGGTGACCCAACTGTGTATGGCGCTGAAGCACGTGCACAAGTTGCGGATCGTGCACCGCGATGTCAAGGGCAGCAACATGTTCATCACTGGAGTGGCCTGGCGGATTCGGCATGGCGCACTTGTGACTGATGTGGGGCTTGGTCAAGCAGACCTCTAATGGATTATAATTAGATGGATTCGACTGTTAAGAAAGCAAAGCAGGGTGACCAAGGTCAAACAAGGGTTGTTGCCTTTTGCCCTGTTTGACCAGAAATCCGGGCTAAGCACTTGCTGAGGCTCGGAATATCGTTCTGGGGGACTTTGGCGTCAGCAAGCAGCTCACGGAGTCGCAGCAAAAAGCCATGACCTCCGCGTGGAGCCCGGCCTGTGACTGGCATGCAGGTGCATGAAGGAGCCTCCCCTGATGTGTTTGGGACGAAAGTACTGCAGCCACTTCTTTGTGGCCCGCCGTTTTTTAGCAACTGCCGGGCCAAGCAGAATGAAGTCCAAGATGTCCCAAAAAGCCAGCAAGACACGCCATGACAACTTTTTGCCAGCCGGCCAAAGTGGCCGCATGCGGAGGTCGGGAGCCCTATGTATATGGCGCCCGAATGGTGGGATGGCCGGGGCGGCACCGCTGCTTCGGACATGTGGAGTGTGGGGGTGGTCCTTTTCGAGCTTTTGGCTCTGAAGCTTGGCCGCGACTTTACAGGTGGTGGTATATCTCATATCTATATAGATATGTATTGTCTGGGGGGGTGGCAATCTGGGTTATAACTTATAGCGCACTCATAGGTTTTTTGTTTTACATGGAGTTATTAACCTTGGTCTTAGTGGGTTATAGCCCAGGTGGCCCATCGCTTGCTAACTTGGACAAATATCCAAGTAGAGGGGTTTCCTGCATCATCAAGAAAGGCACCCCCCTTGGGTATCACGGTGTCATACTCATCTCGGAATGGGAGTCGTTCTCACTGGTGGTTGCCCCCTGTGCGAGTCCAGCGGGGTGTTCATGCATTAACGGTTCCCATCAAGGGCGAAGGGCTGCAAGCAAAGATTCAACGAGGACCAGGCATCCTTTGGACATTTATAAGCATTAGGACGGGGGTGCCCCACGAAGAGTCAACAGCTTTCAAGTCGGGCTGGAGCAGGCATAGTGGAATGATTGGGTGCCTTTTCGTGGCCTGCGATTTTGCGGGCCAAAGGTGATGCTCGTGACTAAGGAGGCGTCCTTTTGAAGCTTCCAACGCCTTGCCGGCCAGCCTTGCCGCTATGCAAGAGCCGTCTTTCGCCAGGAAAAAAACAGAAAAACGACTCGTTTCCAAGCCACTGGCATGGCCAGGTCCTCTCGTTGGTTCACAAGATCACCACCGAAGAGCCTGCAGCTTTGCCGGAGGATGCGGACCCACAACTGGCAGCCCTGGCGCTGAAGCTGCTGGACAAGCGCCTGGTGGCCAAGAAATGGGTGGTGACGATCCAAAATGACCCAACTTTGTGCGACAAGTGCATGTTTCAAAGGAGGGTCTGGTTGAAGAGTCGTGCTTTTTTTGTTGCAGGCGACTTCGGGTTTCTGTGGGGCGAAGCTCCTGCATCAAACGTGTAGCACGTTCCAGGCAGCTGCTCCTTCTATTCTGGATCCCTTCGTGGGATGTGTCATGTTTCAGTGCTCCTGCGGACTGCTCCGGAAAAAAAGGGAAGATAAAAAACACACGAGCAAAACCACGGCACCGGCGGCGCATCGCCGGACGCCTCGGCGCGTGAGGACCGGAGCATCGCCCGAGTGCAGAGGAAGCATTGGACAAAGGCCTGGAAGACGTGGAGAAGATCCTCACGCACCCTGCCTCTCATTGTTCATCCTAGGGTTCCTACTTGGGTGTTCGATTCGCCAAGTGAGCAAGTTGTTGTATACCTAAGGTCTTTAGGTTTGTGTGGGGGATAGCCCCTTGGCCCTCAAAGGGGTTTTCTGGTGACCATCATAGCCTGAGACTGATATCAGATGGCGAGCTGGGAGGGGGGGGGGGGTGTTTAAGGATTTTCCAATTACACCCAGGGATTACACCCTTGGGAAATTTCCCCAAACACAGAAATAAAGCAACCAGGGTGCAACACAAACACCTTGGGCATGCCCTACATCAGCTTGTTGTGATATGGAGCTCCCACGTTGGCTGATGGTGTCTTTGCACATACTCAAGCATGACATGTTTGAGTCACAACTGCAATTTGCCGCCCATCCACGGCGCTCAGGATTTACCGAGAAGCCCTGGAGAAGAAATCAGAGAAGAGGCTTCGGAGGCCCTGTGTTGCTGCAGGATCAGTCTGCAATCTCTTTGTTGTCCATGTGGAAGGCCTTGTTGTGTGCTCCAAGCGAGCAATGCCAACCGGCACTAGCAGATTCTTGCCGGCGTTGTTCCCAAAACAAAACTCGACAAGTGGGCCAGAGAACATTGCCGATTGATCGGCCATGACTGCGAAGCAATGCCGAGTCAGTCGGCCGAAGCATGAGCAACATGCAACAGCTTCAAACATTATCGAACAATGCAGCATGTAGGTGCAAATTGGTTTTGTAGAGTTTCCCAGAGCATTCAATTGATTAGAGGCTTGCCTCTTTAAGTGCTAGAGAAAGCTTAGCCTCAGGAATCTTCGTCTCCCCCTCAGGCTTGCCAAAGAGGAAGACGCTGCAGCTGGCAAAAAGCCTCGGCGCCCCAGTAGATCATGCAGCGACGGCGACAGCAGCGCGGCGCTGAGCTCTTGCCCGTTGCAGAGAGGCTGCGCTGTTTGGACAGTTGGTTTGCCAAGGTGGCAGTGCTGCAATCGCAGGGTTTCGAGGGATCAACTTGGTCGAGATCGCCAGGAGGCGAGCCTCCCCCCCCCCCCACGACAGGAGTGGGGCTGTTAGATTTTGAGCGACATCCGGCCGCCACAACCATATTCGGCTTACCGACAGAGCCTGTGACAGACAGATGTGACAGGCAGCCGAGACACAGCTTGTGATAAACGGCCGACTTTTTGGTGCCTGTGTGGTTGCAGCTTAGTTTAGTTAAACAAGTTTCTTAGGTGGAGCTTGTTTGAAGGAAAGTATGGGAGGGAGCTCGCTGGGAGCCCGCCTTTTTTTCAGTCGAATACTTTTTTCAGGTGGCAAGGCGTAGTCAACAAAGCGAAGTTGCTGCATTGGCCATGTCGTTGCTTCGAAGATGCTTTTTAGTTGGTTCCGATGCGCCCAGAAGCGGACAAATAGCGCCGCGTTGACCCATCCCTTACCATGGCACAGTCGTAGATTCGCGGATCCTGCACGGGCGTTTGGGCAAAGCCTTGGCATAGCGCTGCCAGCTGCAATTTTGAAATCATTCACAAACCCTTCCTGAGCATTCAACAGAACTTCACAGCTGCAGGCAAGCAGGCACATTGCCTGCCACGGTCGATGAGGCTGGTGAAGATGAGGGTAGTGAAGGAGCTGTGCTGGTGTGGACTGAGTGTTGCTGCTAGTTGGAGACGAGGTCGCGGGTGTTCTGGTCTTTGTGGCGATGGCTCTTATACTGTTTCGCTGGGGGCTGCTGCTCCCCTCATGACTTCATGCTGTGGCATGATAGCATGTTGTTGTTGTTGCTGCCAGCCAGCCCGCGTTTCTGCTTGCGTGCGTGAAGGTATTTAACACACAGTGATATTGCCTGTTCGTTTGGCATCGGATGCTTGCTGCTATTCCAGGAAGCTCAGACGATGAGGATGAGGAAGACGAATCCGAGGACGGCTCAAGTCAGATGTTGTATGAGCGTTTCTCCCTCCTAGGGACCTCTGGTGTCCCTTTGATTTCCCTCCAGAACCATCCAACAAAACACCTATTTTGAGAACCGCCCATAGAAGCAGCGCTGGTTTTCCATCTCTGGGCGTTGCCATGAAGTAGCTTGGGCGGAATGTGCCTGTGCGATTTGTTTTCATTTGCTGTGCTTCTGCAAGGTGGTTCCGTTGATTGGAGATGTACGGAAGATTTTGGTGCTGTCGGGCCACGGTGAAGGTTGTTCCTGGGTTGGCTTGGGGCTAGTTGCTTTGCTTAAAAGGGCTGGGCTTGGTGTAGGGTTGGTGTTGGACAGTGGCATCGCTTCAGGCATTCATTTGGGCAGACCTGTGGTTCGGGTAGATTCGGGTAGATTGAGGGCTTGGCCGGCAGTGCGATGATGTCAGGTTCTGGAGCGTTACCAGCCCCCAACCAGCTTTTGAACTGAGGCTTGGCTTCAGGCCTCATTGGTGACAATGACCGCAGCAGCGCCAGATACACAAAACACAAACTACCCGCGAGGTGCGAGAGTGTCTTCTTAAACTCCGGTATTCAATGTCTCCACGGTAGCACTTCCACGAAGGAATCAACAGGTGCCTTAAGGCGCATCCTTTCAAGTTCTGGGTGCTTTTTGGCTGGCATTCTGCAGGAGTCGTCCTCCGGGCTGGACGCAGATGAATCGGAGGAGCTCGGCTGTTGCTGCTTGCCAAGGCGAAACACAAGGTACTAGGAGGCAAGGCCTGAGCACTTCCGAGCTTGTCACCAAGTGGCCCGATGAATCGGATTTCAGGAGGGGAGCTCGGATGAATCTGGCTTGCTGCAGCCTAAAAGCTCGACACCTTTGAGCGGTGTCATTGTTGTTGTCTGATGGTGGGCCTCATGACTTTTTCATTCCAAGGCAAGATTCGTGGGGAGATGTGGCAGTGTCCGGCTCAGATTCCCCTACGGTCGTCCCCTGTCATGATTCAGGCTGATCCGCAACCTGAGGTGAAGACGCAAGATCCACAACAATTACTTGGCGGTCTTGCAGGTGGTGGCGTGTTGGGCATTGATAGCTAGGATCAGTTCGTACAACAGGACACGCAAGGAAACAGAATCAATCATTCACTATACCTTTCCATGGTTTACTCATGTTTGTGTTTTTCACATATGTGCATCCATTGCATACGGACCGCTTTTCATCTCAAGCCACAGGCACTTTGCTGGAGGCTCCGGAGCGGGGCCTAAAAAGGATGGTGCAATGGTGGTGCAGTGGTGCTGTTGGGTGACCCACACTAACCTCTACAATCAAGGGGTTGGGGTCGGTGTATGTCAGAGTTCATGAGAGAGCAGTCAGTAGGGCCAGTGAATTGCGCAGAGCACACCTTGCTCCGTTGAAAACAACTCTGCTGCAAGCTGCAGGCCAAAAGCGCCGGGCTATGCCCTCAGAGATGCCCTGCCGAGCTTCTGAGTCGCCTGCTGTCGCCTGGCCATACAGTCCGTTTCGGCTGTGAGCCGAGCCGGACAGCCGAAAGAAGAGGCAGCTCATGCGCACGAGAGCCCAACGTAGCCGCTTCCTAGTTGGACGCGCGGGATCCAACAAATACGGCACGAGCCCGAGATGACTTGCCCAAGCCCACAAAGCATCTACAAAGCAGGGATGACTTGACCAGCCATGGCCGACCTGATTCAAGTGGAGGTTATTAGCTTGTCTGGACGCTGCCTACGCTTGGAGGCAGGACCCAGCCCCCAGCCGCCCGCGGTCGCGCTCCCGAAGACGATCTCGCATTGCGGAGCCAAGCTGGGGGGGGGGGCATGGCCCACATTGCCGTCATGTTGCCTCGGTGAGGTGCAATGTTACTTTGTCAACCGTGTAGTGAATCAATCAGATTGCAAGATCAGCACCAAACCGTCTTAAGTAGCTTCTGCTCAACATTATTTTCCAAACGAGTCTGCAGAGAAGCCTTCCTTCTTGCTGCCCCCACCACACCAGCAACTGCGACAGCAAAAACAAAACTGCCCAACTGCAAAACAGCCGCAGATTCAGCAGGAGCAGCAGCAGCAGCAGCAGCAGCAGCAGCAGCAGCAGCAGCAGCAGCAGCAGCAGCAGCAGCAGCAAGAACAACAAGCACATGTTCTTACTGATTTATCATACTGGTGCAGGGCTCCTTAAAAGATAAACTTTGCCCATTTGAAACATGGCTTGTTCCATCAAAAATAACGGGAAACCACAATTTGCAAAGCTCAGGTGTATAATGTAAGGATCCTTGTGGTGTACCGTGCGTGCCAGCGCAAAAGCGGGAGATGTTTGGCTGAGTTTCCAAAGTGGCCAGCGCAGGCGCAGCCCGACAAGAAGCTGGGGCATTTGAAGCAGCTTGTGAGCCACGCTTGGGAGGCAGGCTGCATGAGCAAGCTATGAGCATGATGCATGCTCTTGAGTGGATGGGCACTCCTTTCCCAGCAGTTCAGGTCAACTTGCCAAGCACGATAGTAAAAACCTGGATTTAGAAGAGCCTTATGGCATATCGACAAAACGAATGCGCACCTTCCCAAAAAGAGAGTGACAGCGTTTGAGCGTAATCATGGGCTTCATGACGGGCTGCCTTGCAAGCATGCACTCCAACTCCCGCAATGGCTCAAAGTGCGAACATGTATGCTAGTCGCATTTGAGTTCTTTGTGGCAGGTGCCGAGCTTATGTTTGCAGCTTCTTGGCGCGGTTTATTTCAGCCAAGCTGCTCTTTCATACTGTGGATGGACGAACTCCTGCACCACCTAAGAAAAACCGGAATGATGATTCCTCCAGAAAATACAAACCAACCAACCGTCCTACGGCACACCTTGGAAGGTGGTTGTTCACCTGGATGGGGTTGGTGGTTTCCACCCACCCCAGGCTATTTTTTTCTGATCCGTGAAGGGTGTGCCCATGGTAAGCGGTGCAGGATTTCGTCCATCCACAGTATGGCAAGGAGTTGGGGCCTAAGAGTCGCTAAGGCTATCGTTGGGCACACGCGTCCTGAGTGACGAGGAGCTTATCGGACACTGTCTGGAGGGCAATGCTGTGAACCTATCCGAAGCCAAGCTGAAGTGCATAGTGATCTGTGTTGCCTGGTCCCGAAATAACGAATAATAGAGAGTGAATTGGCTTGCTGGGGATCTGCAGGGAATGAGGGAATGATCGGAATGACCCTTGTAAACTTATAAGCCATCCAACAGGTGGTTTCCTTTCAGGGAATCTGTGGGTTCATTGCCTCATCTACCTATCGCACCGATCGCAGCTGGTAAGGCCGTGGTCCACTCAGAGCACATCTACGAAGCCATTGACCACGGTGGGCTGCTGGTCGCTGAGCAGAACCCATGGTCCAAGGAGGAACCGGCTGGGCGATGTGGAACATAGGCATAGGTATCCAAGCGCATGCGGCTGAAAATGGTCTCATCCCCTGAGTTCCTGGACTGGTCACTTTTTGGGAAGACCTTTTTGACGGCAAATCACCAGTTCTTTTTGGACTTTTCTTGGCCAATCCACATTGAAAATGAGTGGTTGATGGGTGAGACATGCCGTTTTGAGCTGGTTCTCTATGGATTTCTGACCTCAAGATCTTCAGGTTCAAGGGGTATTGGGATCACAACCCTGGTGAGGTACCCACAGAAGCTTCACGGTTCTAAGTCTCCTTGATTTCCAGCCAGGCGTACCGACTCACCACTCACCTGACGTAGCCTGCGATGGTTTTGAGGAAAGGGCCAAGGCCTTGGCAGCGCTGCCACATGTGGCCCAGCCGGGCGACGGCCGTGCCTCGGCGGGGAGGATGCAGCGCCTCTCCCCCGAAATCCATTTTGGAAACCAATAGTCAGGGGGCCGCAGGTTTTGGTCCATGTTTCTTTCCACTTACCAGGTTCCATTGTGGGTACATATTTTTGACCCACACCCATTTGCCAGTAACTCGCACCAAACAAGATGAAGCCCATGGTTGAAACCATTGTTTCATCATCCGTCGCTTGGGGATGCACTGGTTCTGCCGTTACAATCCATGTGCGCTGCTTCTCGCGCCACGAAATGAATCACTGGCTGAGGCCATGATGGGTTCCACCATCCTGAAATCGTGGTCGTTTGGCATGAAATCCTGGTTGCAACCATCAGGTTGGTTGGTATGTTGGGGAATCGAAGCAGGTTCCAGGGGTTCTGAACGATGCAAATGGAGTTTGGCAACCATCCACAGTAGTGGCAAACTATGCTTTTGGCGCAGGGTGTGGCATTGAAGCGCAGGAGTTGAAGTCCTGTTCGGAAAGGAGCCTCTTGCACATTTCATGCTGCCCCTGGAACGGAGAAACCGCTTAGCGCGCAGGGCGTGCACCATGGCTGTCGCTAAACAGTAGATCTGACGGCAGACTTTTGGACTTTGGGCCTATGGGAAGAGCCGTAAATCGTTTCACATGGCCTTCTCATCCCGAAGCCCCAGGGCGTTGACGCTCGGTTTGGTCAGAGATCGAGACAACAAAGCTGGAAGCTTTCTGGCTGAATCGGCGCGATTGCCTTGATTGGCTCGAGCCAGCCCAATTTTGTAAATACTCCTCTCGCCCGACATGGCCTTGACTTTTGCGGCTCCACTTGAGCTGACGAGAGCAGCGAAGGCCCATCTTGTCAAGAGGTGGCTAGGTCCTGGCTTATGTTAACAGTTTGTCACTGGGGGTACCTGCCGTATCGCATTCACCCTGGAAAAGGCATTGCAGCCATTGAATGCAACATGGGTCAGTTTTGTGTTGTTTTCTTTCTTTGACCCCAAAATGGCTGGTTTCCCGTTAGCACCAACCAACTGGTGGTTCCCCCGAAAGAAGCACTGCATGTGTAAAGCATCCGATGCTTGCGTGGCCAGGCTCCTCCAGTCCGTGGCCAGAAGCCGGCACAGCGCAAGTGCGGTGCGATCGAAAGCTTTCCAGGTGAGCCGGGTGATCAAAACCCGGGCCCGGGTAGATGAAGATTAAGGGACCTTCCCAACCAGAAATAGGTGCGGATATTCGCCATTGATTGTGTCTGTTCATTGGTTTGGGTACACCATTTTTTTGGTACCGACCGGTTTTGATTATGGCTCAGGTGGTGTGCCCAAGGTGTTTTGAGGCTGCTGAGGCTGCCAGGAGGAACTTAGTGTTTCGAGTTCGCTTTGATAGAAAAGTAACGGATGCGCCTGCACCATAGCCCTAGCGTCTGATAACAAGCATGTGACGGATGGACCAATCGTTACATCTTTGTGAGCTGGGATTCCAAGGTAGGCGAAAGGAGTGGATAGAGAACTGAGACCAGAGAAGAGTTCCCATGAGAGAGAGCGTGACCAAGAGATGGATCTTAGACAAGGAAAACGAAGAATCCCAAGATATTCAAAATACAGAGATGGCATAAGGCATAGAGAGATACAGGATATTGTTTTCCTCTCTTCTCCATGCCTCTGTCACTGTATGAGTTCTCACTCTCTCTTCTTTATTTTGAGAAATATGTTTTAGATGTGCGGATCAGGAATAATTCTGAAAGGAATATATTATTATTTATGAAATAGAAATAGCGGAATATGAAAGGATAGGACGTGTCTATCATGTCTCTAATGATTATTCTGTTGGTTTCTTCGCATATCGTGTAATTCCTGTCCCTCGAAACCTCCAAAGATTGGCGTTCAATGTGTTGGCAAGAGGTGATTGCATTTATTGGCAGTCTACCAGTACCATGCCCGGGTCTGTTCTAACAATATCTACACTAAGCTTTTAGATGTCCAAAAGTGCAGAGGCCCCTGCGCTGTTGTGCACTCCTCTTGGCACTCGCGGCTGGTTGCAGGAACTGCCGCTCTCGTCGGCGTGGCTGCGGGCGTGGCATGCTCCAGAGGCCGACGAACTCCGGCAACCTGTCATGGACTATCGGGGGGGCCTATGAGGGGGGGGGCTACTTCCTTTATCCATAAGGGTTGGATAAGCTTTGGGAAAGGACATGATTCTTGTTGGCTCATGGCCATGTCTTCACTAACACGGCGTTTGTACAGTCACTAGTGCCACGACCAAGCCGGTTAAGTTTTTTTCTGCGGTTGCCCTGGGCGTCCCAAGCTGGTCCTCCTATTCTGGGCTTATCCTCGGCTTATCCTGGGCTTATCCTGGGCTTATCCTCCGCTTATCCTGAGCTTACCCTGGGCTTATCCTCAGCTTATCCTCGGCTTATCCATAAGGGCTTAATAGACCTTAATAAGGTTTTAATAAGGTCTTATTAAGGCCTTATTCGAGGGCTATTAATCTCTTAATAAGAAACGTGGGGAACAAGGCGCTTCCAAAAGCGTAGGAGCACCCTCCTGAGAAGCGCCGAACGTACCAAGTGGAAAAGCACTCGCTTGTGACTTGTGATGAAAGACTCTTGACTACCTGACACCTGTCAATGCGGGTCACCCCACAAAAACAAAACACGTAAGA